TGATGCTTGGGGGGGAAAAACCGCTGCTAAAAAAACTGGGGAGCTATTTACCTAAATAATTGAGATCTTCCAGAAGCTCCTGGAAACCCATATTCCCTTGCTGGTCTCTGTACTGGTCAGTGCTTATGGGAGTTCTAAAACAGCCACATACTGCCATTCTTGCTCTAAACAAAAGGTTCAACCATTGATCTAAAGTCCCTAAATTAATCAGGATACAGGAGATCCATCAATAAAAGGGGAAAGTCCTGATGTGCTTGATCAAGTATAGCAGAAATTGACTTGGAAATTATCCTTTTCTTTGGTTTGCAGATTCTGTCGTTAAGGAATTTCTCAGACATAAAAGACTGCTTCAATCAAATCATATTAACATATCAGCTCTTAATGACTGGTAATCTGTAACATACAATTTGATGCTAGGAGGTACAGATATGATTCAACTCTTTTCACTAGTGTACACCATTTTTTAAGAAGGAATGAACCTCCCACTCCCATTGTTTGTGCAATGCAGTACAGTAGGACCCCGCTATCCATGGATTAATTTATCCACTCTGAAAATATTTAAAATATTAAAAGAAAAATCAAATATGTATTTGTAAATATGATGTTACTAGAACTGGCCACTAGAGGGAACCAGAGACCATGTTATGTAGAGCATTTGCTATTAAAATAGTGTTCTGCATTTTGGGTAGTATTTGAAATTTAAAACGTCTCATGTCACCATCCTGTGGCTTTAAAGATTTGGTATAAAATGATAAAGGACAAGACATTTCTCCTGTTGCCATTGTTCACACAGGCCTTTCTGAATACATGCAACATTAATGAACCTTTCGCAGTGCCTGCTGCTTGAAAGAAGGGAGACTTACCTGCAGCCATTCCACGTTCTGGCGACAGACCTCAAGCCCCGGGAAGGCAAAAGAAGGCCATGAAGACAGTACAGGATGCTTTAGTGGGATGGGCTCTACTGTTAAGGCGAGACAGTTGCTTACTTTGGGGGTGACATGTTGAATGCTCTCTGTTCTCCCCAATGTAACTGGAGTAGTTTCCTAGCCTGAGCTATTAAACAGCAGCACTATTCTGATTCAAGAAGAGAAAATGAAATTTACTGATTTAACTCCCTAAACAAGGAAAATACATTTCAGTCTTTAAACCCTCACGCAGGATCTTAAAACAGTCATTGAACAAAATTTTTAGGAAGGAAACAATTCTTCCCATCATTCTATAGACACACAGTACTTTGTTACTTTGATAATTCAGGATCACAATTTTAATTATTTCTTCACATTCGTTTTTACAAGAATGAGAGGGCATGTACTAACAAGACATGAATTAAATGGTTTTTTAAAAAAAGTACGTTTACATCAACAGAATTAAGACGAAATATAAATCTTTCCTACTTACAATCATTTTATACATATTATAATTGCTAAATCACAAATCTTTCACACAATATAAATGTTTAGTTGTTATAATGTAATAACAGAGAAAAAACTTTTATAAAATTCTGCTTTGTTTTAGGTTTCAAACTTACCATTAACTTAAAGAAGCTGTGCAGGGTTGCTGGGGTACATGACTAAGGCACCGACAGTACAAAGCCAATACAAAAGCAAAAAAGTTATTTTCTTCGGAGTGCTTTACACTGAAACACCACAAGAAAAGGCAACAATAGTAAGCAAACCTGCAGCAGCCTTACAAAGTTAGTTCTGGGAACGACAAGGTTAGTTCTATTGTTGTATTTCTTCCAGTATACAATTTCAGTACTGATGATGGCACGTGCTAATTAATACTGATTGCAAGGACAGACTTTGCTAAGATGCTCTTTTCATCACCTTAGTGCAACCAGTGCGATGACCTTTGGTGTCTTATACATACTTCAGTCAAAGCGTAAACATACTTTAAACTTGCATTGAAATTATTTTCTTGGACTTAAAACTGCAAAAACTTACAAAAATACTTTCCCTTAAACTTGGGATTGCTTCAAAACATTGCTTTATAAATATAGAAGAACTATGAAAGGGGCTAAAATGATGTTTGTGTCCGCCTTATCTGAGCTATGTCAAAAACTGATTTATTAAGCATTTATTAAGTCCATAGAAACCAGCTTATTCTTTAAAATGTAATATGCTTGCTACAGCTGTTTAGTGCTGCATTATAAATATACCACAGTGGCCTGGACGGTATCAAGGCCCACTGGTACAGGATAAGGTTTACAGGCTGAAAAGGTCACAGGCTGAATCTTGCCTAATCTCTAATTTTGAAGGATCTCAAGTAGCAGGCCTAGATCTGAAAAAGACTCCTTGCTGAAGATTTTGGAGAGCCTATGCTGGGTGGGGTTAACAGCATTGTGACAAACAGACCATTCTAAATAAGGCAGGTTCATGTTTAGTTTACAATGGAAACCAATAGGATACCTCCGATTAGCGAAGTCCTTTTGCAGCTCTGAAATATAGTTTGAGTTTTAAAGATAACCGGCTCCCAAAAGCATGCACTACAAAGTTTCCAATATATGGCACATGTGTATGGCTTTAAGGGCCAAAAGATTAGGCCTGAAGAAAAAGCTCCATCGCTCATGATCTGGAAACAGATTTTCACTGCATAAACCCATGTACTGTAATTAATAGGGTCTTGTTAGTTTAAGTCTGGAATGTCTGACAGCCAGTGACTATTGCAGTTAATGAGAGTTCAATGGAGGAGGTACACAAATTTGAAAGAATGAACGTTGACCTTCATGTATTGCCTGAATGATATGCATAGCGTTGAACATGAAGTTATTTAAAGGATTATGTATAATAGTGTGTAACTGGGTGCAGTCTCCATTCAACTCACAAGAACCCCTACATACGAACTCTTTACACCAAAGATCTCTCCATAAACTTTAACATAACCACATGCTAGGTTGGTATCATCAACTTCAGATTCTTCACTGCTTCTGTAGAAATTTCTAGAATAGGCATACAAAAGCTTAATAGGTAAGAAGAAACAAAATCAAATTAATGACATGCTATTATAAGCATATATTTCACATGGTTTTCTGTTTCATTATTTACTATTCAGCATGGAAATGTGAGCCCAACAATATTAAATGACTCCAGTTGGTGATCAGAACTCAATTTCTTTGACAGATAAGCAAAAATAATGCTTCCGAGCTTGAGATATTAGTAAATTGTATCCATGGCTTCTATGGAGTTGTGAATAAAAAAAGCTGAACTTTCTACTATAAAAGACTCTCCAGGATATAAATGCAAGGAGCTCAAACAAAATACTTATCTTTTCTGTTGCAGCAGTAGAGTTTTTGCAACAGTAAAAACTTAGTTTAATGCAGCAATGGTCATGCAGGCAGAGCCTCCAGCTATATTTCAATTCAAACAGAAGTAGGCATTTTGGTAAGATACAATGTGCAGAAGACCGAGAAACGCTTCCACACAAGTATGAACAGTCAAGCGGAGAATCAAAGTATCTGGTCTCTGCCAAGAGTAGCCTGTGCAGTTTTCTAACAGTATATTTTGCGAAGTATATACTGTATACTTAGACCGTAAGAGTTCATATAAAACGCCCTTTGGAAGCAAGCTCTTCTTTTTTTAAAGTTAACTTTAGCAGACTAATTCATTAAGAAAAATTGTGTGAAGGCCCCCTTATATCAGGATGTGATCCAGATAAGTAATTAAAGTCACTAAGCCCATTTACCAGGGAATTAAGTCTGACTTAACTCAATGACTTATAAGTAAACACGCTTTGGGACTCTGCTGAACAGAAACCAGGTACTGTATGATTAACCTGAGGTGGATGGCAGCCTGGAAACACAATCCTATGTATACTTACTTGGGACTAAGTCCTATTCATCTCAGTGAATACTGTATGCCTAATGAGAGGGCTGCCAAAAGTCTAGATTAATAAGCTAGCTAAACTATACTGAAAGTAAAATAAGTGCATCCGTCAGCAAGCATCCTTAATATTAGAGTACAGATTCCCTTCAATAAGCAAATAAAATTATTTGAAAGGTTAATGTAAAGTTACATGATTAAAATTTATTTTTCATTAATTACAAGTGCATTTTTATCATATTAGTAAGCCATCTTTATACAATCTATTCTTCACTGCTGCCAAAATACAACAGAGCAGAGATATGAACAGCTAAAAACAAAGCTATTTCTTCCTAAGTTATTGGTTGGATAGAATTTTATTTAACACAATTCAGAGGTAACTTTTTCCACTGTAGGCATGTGGCACTTAGACAATCATCTTTGCACAGAAAGCTTTTAACAGTCATGCGAGGGCACAGTAATCATCTTGAACAAGGCAAATTTCTCACCACAGAGCAGTGGGGAAAAGTAAAGGAGGCACTGGAACAGAAACACCTAATAAACTCCACATTATACGAGATCAAAAACAAATATTCGAATTGCTATCATTAAAAAGAAAGAAAGAGAAAGAGAGTGTTTGAATGGAACATGGTTTAGTGATTACTTTTTTTTTTCAGCCAGCATTTATCAATAATTCTTGATTACTCAATTATTTGACTAAGCAGTCAAGTGTCAGAAATTTGGGAGCCCATCACCATTGGGCAAGGTTACAAGAACGACACTCTTAACGTTCTCATTTAAAGATGCAGTGTTGGTTTGTCACACAAAATCTGAAGAACGTAAAAATGCCAGAAATGTTTCAATGACAGCCAATAGATAGATGGAGTTTACAATATTCACATGAGCACCTCTGCAGATAGATCCTTCCTACAAGAGAACATGACCCAATACAAGATTTGGCTCCAAGTTATTCTCTCGTCACTCTGTCAACTGTTGAACTGCTACCTTCTGTTTGTATAATGTTGCAAAATTGGAAAGAAATATAATACTAATTGTGTGCCATTAAGTCAATTCTGACTTACAGCAACCCTTTTCAGTTTTCTGAGAGAGCACTTATGAGCTCCCTTCTTCTGGGGGGAAAACCTGGGAGTATGCAGCTTGCCCAAGGCCATACTGGCTGGCTTTTCTGGGAGCCAAAGTGGGAAACTGAACTCCCAACCATACCTCACTCACTGAGCTATCCAGCTAGCTCGAAGGAAACAGAGGGGGGAAAAATCCAACTAAATTCAAAGGGATTTACTTCTGGGTGAAGATATGTAGAAACAGCACCACATATTTTTCAAATAAGACAGCAGAGGAATAAGGAGTACCTTTATGATTTAAAATTGCACAAGTACCTCTTAAAGGGGCAAGAGAATGTTTCTTTTCATGGTTTAGTTAACAAAAAAAAAAGATTTGAAGACACTCTACTAAAATGTGCTGCATTCACTTGTATGTACAAAACAAGTGCACAAACAAGATTCATGGTGTCAATCTGCCCGCCTGCGCTGTGTGTCAGCATATGTTAGTAAACCATGGCCTGCTTAAAGAAGTGCAAAAAAGCAGAGGACGCCACTAACATAAAGTGCCCTAAAATGTAGCCTTTTCCTTGGGAAAAAAAATTAAAATAAAAAATGTCACTAATAAAGTTTAGAAAATAAAAGTTGTAGTGTAAACATCTTGGTCTGTCATCATCTTGGTTAAGATTGGAAATGAAACACTCCATCTTTCAAATCAGAAAGGGAAGCAGTTAAACATCGTCAGCAGCAGGTGCGTATGGAAAGATAGTACTGCAAAAAGGTCAGTCAGATATTACATACAGAAATATCAGTAACAATTTTTCAGGCATAAATAAAGACTCTTAAAAGCATAGAAGCCAGGGCTACCAAGGATGGCCCTCCTGAATGGCTTGAAGTGGTTAGTGGAGAAGGTGAAATAGGCCACAAGGTATGACCATGGACAAGGAATCAGGAAGAGAACATCTATGTGGAGTATGCCCAGCCCTTTAACTCCTTTCTCCTACAAGAAAGACAAAAACGGAAAGGCAGGGTTAATAAAAGAGCTGAGGGCACATGTATGGATGAAACACAAAAGGTATATGGTGAAACAGTTTAGAAATGACACAGATGACAGCACTAAAAATAAACAGATGGCAGCAGTACCACATTCTTGATACACCAATATATTTAACACCTCACCTCTTCCTAATATTCTGGAAAAATGAGACTGGCAAACCTCTAGAAAAGAGTAAAGTGAGCAACTCTTTGAGCCAGGATAGGGTTTTGTGTATTCTGCTACCATATGATCTATGGCAAAACAGAAGCAGAGCACAGCTTGAGAACTATGCCTCAGCATTCTCTGCAATGTTAGAGGACGGTGCATAGTTGAGTCTGTGGACGGCAGTTTAAGCTTAAACCAGGAAATGGCAATGCCACGGATGCGACTTTTTAGGTCAGGGGTCTCCAAACTATGGCCCGCGGGCCACATCTGGCCCGCCTTGCCTTTTTATCCGGCCTAGGCATAGGAAGAGGAGCAAGGCCTGACAGAAGCGATCCCCCACCCCCGCTGTCTTTGCAACGACAGCGGGGGTGGAGGATCGCTTGGGTCCCCCTTCCCTCCTTCAGCCTTCGAAAATATGTAAAATATATGTTGTGGCCCTCATACAGAAAAGTCTGGAGACCTATGCTTTAGGCAAACGAGGGCAAGCAAAACTTACCAGCTGAAAGCTTATATTCAAGAAAACTAATATGTTACTGCCTTTATGTAAAGGAGATTTATATCGCTTCTAATGTCCTCTGATGTATCAGTTTTCAGTGTGATGTTCTAGCCCAGCGATGGCGAACCTATGGCATGCGTGCCACAGCTAGCATGCTGAGCCCTTTCTGCAGGCATGCGAGACATAAGTCGCCGGATNNNNCTCCCCCCCCCCCCCCCCGGCAATGCCAAACCTGAGAAAGTGGCTGCAGCCACGGTGCTGGCGGTTCAGCAGGCGGATCCGGAGCAGCTGGTGCTGGCGGTGGATCTGGAGTGGGGTCTCAAGGCACTTCCGTGTCCAGGATTCCCCCTTCCTCCGCCACCGCCCACTGTTTTTTTTTTCTTTCAGTTTGGGCATGTGAGCCCAAAATGGTTTGCTGCCACTGTTCTAGACCAAAGGAGACACATTTTTGTCTTTTGGTCTGACAATATATACATCTCACAACTGAAGAATTATGTAAAGTTCTAACTAGCTTGCATACTACTTTTTTATCTCAAAAGAACCCTCTTTCATTTTGTGAATGGAGGGAAAAAAATCAGAAAGTACTGAAAGCAAACTATTTGACAGACTGGATTATTTCTTCTATTATTATAATTCTCAAAACATTTGCTTATCTTAAACCTTATTAATTAAAAGCAAAATTTAGTTTATTCAATACTTATTATTCTTTTAGGGATATGTCAAATGTTATGTGTCTATTATTCTCTTTAGCTTATTCTGCATAGTTACAGTATAAGATTAAATATACCCATATGTCATTTAGCATCTGTATCCTGGCTGGAATCTGGCTGTTTCCTCAAAAATCAGCTCTTTCAGTTTTTCCTTTGGCAAGTCATCCAGCTCCATCTCAAATTTGAACGGTGCTTCTGCTACAGGCTTTGAAAAAAAGCACAAGATAACTTGCGTTAAAACTTTAACAGCAGCTCTTTTCATAATTTTGATCCACACTCTCCTCAAATATCATTCAAACATCTGAATGAACATACTATTAGAAGCATTCTGTCAAAAGCTACTCTTCTGAAATAAGGTATCTGAAGCATCGCTTTTACAGCACACGATTATACATTTGAAATGATTATACCCAATATTTGTGAACAAAACCATGCCTGTTTACTATAAAATATGATTTTTTGAAAATACTGCAGGAGGTACCACTAAAATACTAGGCATATTTAGTTGGAAAACGACTCCACCGTGTTTGCTTGTGACACATTTCTATGTGCATCCACACATAATCAAGAGACTTTGGCTGGAATCGTGTTACACAACTTTGTTTTGTAAGCTACTGTTCCTCATACAATGAGATGCTTTATAAAAGGTCTCAGTTTGTGTTACTGGACTACAGCTCCCACCAACCCTTACCACTGACTAAGGCTGATGTGTGGAGCCACACGCTGTTCACCCCCCATCTATATGGTAAAGGTAAAGGTTCCCCTTGACAATTTTTGTCCAGTTATGTTCGACTCTAGGGGGCGGTGCTCATCCCCATTTCCAAGCCATAGAGCCAGCGTTTTATCCAAAGACAATCTTCTGTGGTCACATGGCCAGTGCGACTTAAGACACGGAACGCTGTTACCTTCCCACCAAAGTGGTCCCTATTTATCTACTTGCATTTACATGCTTTCGAACCGCTAGGTTGGCGGGAGCTGGGACAAGCGACAGGCGCTCACTCCGTCGCGTGGATTCGATCTTACGACTGCTTGGTCTTCTGACCCTGCAGCACAGAGGCTTCTGCGGTTTAGCCCGCAGCGCTACCAAGTCCCTTCCGGTTTAGCCAACAGTGCCACCACGTCCCTTCTCATCTATATGACTGCAGGCTAATTTAGAATGAACTGAACTACTACAAACATTGCGAATTACTTAAAAATAAAGTAAAATCATGGCCCTTGTATAATGGTATTGGTTCACAGAACTATAGAAAGTTTCTACAGTATATCAACATTCAGCTAATATACTTTTTCCTTGAATTGCATGGGTTTGAGCAGCATGTTTTTGGTTATACATGGATTTTTTCCCCTCAATCAATCATCAAATATTCAAAAAATGTAGTGTATCTGATCACCCAGAACCCCATGAGTTCAACACTGAAGTCATCAAAGTGGGCTGCTTGCCCTCAAACACAACATCTCTAATTCAGCCTCTAGATCAGGGGGTCATAAGGACCTCTATGGCTCATTACACACAACACTGTATGGAAAAGACTGTCAACGTTACGGACAAGAACCCCGATAGAGAAAATTGTTCCTTTTCTCTTTCTCTTTATTAATTGTTTATGCTTTGTACTTATGTTTTCTGGGGCATAGGTAATATACATAGATTTTGAATTACATGGGGGTCTGGTGCCTCTAAATACAGTGCAGTTGAAGGAAGAAGGAAGCACAAACATATACTTTCAAATAACTGCACAGATGTCTGAAAGACTTGATTGTGCCGTAGTTCTCAGGCATCTTTTTGTGTGAGCTCACCAATGTTTGATATCAGAAACAATGGTTTTCAACAGTGCAGGCAGAGCCCACTGTGTTTGCTACAAGTGAAATGGCACAGCTCTCAACAGACATTTCTGCTTTGAAACCAAAGGTCTAAATTCTCTCATGTTAACTGATATTGGCTTGTACAGGATTCTAAGTAAAACCTCAATATGAACCAAAGGAGCTTCCATGATTCCAATCAAAGCTCTTACCTCATCACTTGGATCATAATACTGCTCTAGATACGGATGGGCCAAAGCTTCTTCCACTTCAATTCTTTTATGAGGGTTGAAAGTCAACATTCTATCCAGCAAATCGAGAGCTACAGAAAATGACAATTTTAGAATCCATTTGGCCAGTTGCACGGCAGCCATTTAATTACAGCATTGCTCTCCCTACTAAGCTTCTGAATAAAACCTATTAAGTGAATAAAACCTATCCATCATGTAATGGCTGTTTCAAAGCACAAACCTGGAAGGCCAGGTCATGCTCTACCTGAAGTTAATTACTAGTGGTCAGCATGACATAGGATAAATGGTCAAAGACGATGAGGGCTCTCAAGGAAAGACCTCCAGGAGACCACAGTTTGTACCACCAGTTGTTCTAAAAACATTTTTGTTCCTTTATATGAGATTTAGTGGGAAACAGAACAATCCAATCCACAAGACACCAGTCTTTGTAACACTAATCCTACAGCACTGTATTCCAATTTGTACCTCATATTTTAAAGATACCTTTGGGGTCAGCATTTGGAAACAGCCGGTTCCATGGCACCTTGTTTTTGTACGGTAGAGAAAGCAAATAATTCCTAGCTTTCAGATTGATTATACAGTTCAAGTCTTCTTGAGAAGGAGATCCAAGTATACCTAGAAAATGAAGAAAGCAGAGAAAAATGAGTTGTTTGGGAACCAATCCATGTGTGTGCAATTTGACAGAAGTGGACATATTTAAAAAGAAAACACTAGTATTATTTGAAATCACATGCATCCACCTCAAACACTAGAGGCTCAAGATGTGGCACAAAGAACCTTCAACTTTTTGTTTTATCAGATGCTGCCACTTCTGGTCACAGCATCACAACAGTCAGCTACACTTTGGGAGCTACCAGATTTTAACTACTGCATGGCTTCATCACTGAAAAAATTATCAGATATAAAAGAAAAAGGGAGCAATTTCATGCACAGAAATGAAACTGATAAAAAAGATTTGATTCTAGGAGCATATTAACAAGTTTACTTCTATTCCCATCCATGCGCCTGTTGTACTTATTTGACAATAACAGCTTTCAATTATATCTTGATGCCTTCCCAAGAAAATCAGCCTCAAACAGTCCACCCCTTGCAGGATGCTGAATAAAAAGGCAAGTCATATGAATCAATGAGATGAACTGAACATTAATCAACTTCTCTTCTCACCTGAGGGGGGAAAAACATGTACATCCATTAAAAAGATCTTGGTGTTTCTGCTAATAACACTGTTATATATTTAACTGTATTTTTTTCCTTTTCTTCTTTGTACAGTGGTGTCTCGCTAGACGATGATAATCTGTTCCACTGAAATAGCTGTTTAGCAAAATCACTGTCTAGCGAAAAGCATTTCCCCATTGAAATGCATTGAAACCTGTTTAATGCGTCCCAATGGGGAAGAATCGTCATTGTCTAGCGAAGATTGGCCATAGGAAAGCCACTTTGCGAACCACCGATCAGCTATTTAAATCGCTGTCTTGCAAAGCTTAGGTCCCAAAAACCCCCATTTTGCGAGCACGGAGGGAGCTGTCAAAATCGTCATCTAGCGAAAATCGGTTTGCGAAGCAGGGACCAAACACTGTCCAGTGAAATTCCCCCATAAGAACCACTGTTTTGTGAATCACTATAGCGATCGCAAAAAGTCAATGTATAGCGAAAAAACTGTCATGCGGGGTAACTGTCTAGCGAGGCACCACTGTACATTATTTTCTATTTTTTCAATGCCACAAAATGGAACAACCCATGAAAACAGGCTCCTGTTCACACAGGTTCCTTATAGCCCTACAGTTCTAAGGTTCTAAAAGGTAAGAGCAAATAAAGGACTGGAAATTGGGTATCTACTTCCTTTGCTCTATCTCTAGTTACGAAGATCAAAATACAACACCAGAGCACAGGCTCCAACTTCACGCAATACCAACTAGATTTTTAAAGCTAGAAAATGTTGCAGGAGAGAAAGAGATTGTTATTACAGTCTGCAAATGAAACACAAGTGCAAAGTGAGGAAACTGTTCACGTAGCAAATCTGTTTATTTTTTTGCTGAATTTTTGCTTCTGTTTTAGATTAGCCTTGTTTACTTCAAAATGTGCTTTTCCCACATTTGCAATGCTTTGCAAGATTAAAAGAAAATCCTGTCTAAATATAATAACTTCCCCTTCTCTCAAAAACAAGCAGAAGTCTCAGCTACGGAGCAAAACAAATCTAATCCTCTGCTTTTATTTTATTTGCAGTGCAAAATATGATTTCACTGTTCCTTAACTAGATAGGGGAATGGGCATCTAGTAATTATGAAGCAGATGGTATTTGTGCACTAAAAACAAGTTACATTCCACCTGTAGTGCTTTGGAATATTTTCTGTTGCTTGATTTAATCATCAGTTAGGCTCTAGTCCAAAAGTGCTGGAGCAAGATTCATCTGAAATTTAAAACATATACTCTGAAGAATGGCTGCAGATGCTGGAAAGGCGGCTTACTCACTCAAAATAATAAAAAATTGAGCATTCTTTATTGTCTAAGGAATTTCTTTAATTGCAAAAATCATTTTAATAAAAGGTTTCAAAATTCTAAAGAATGATCATTTTTACAGTATCTTCCCACTGAAAGATGAGAAACAATATGGGACAGCTGCTTTGGAGGGACTAGTTATGTAATGAAATTAGGAACATCTCTAAAGCCAAGATGTATGGGCATATGAATTTTAGAAAGATTTTAATAATTTTTCAATGATTTGCACTGTTATTCCAGGAAAAAAATCCATTTCACTTATGATTTAAGTTTGAGAGTATAGGGCATTGAGAGTATGTTGTTCCCAGCCTCCTATTCCTTCACTATGGATAGGATTTGTTCCCCCCCACACACAAACACACACACCAAAAGGCTAGTAAATATTTTATATTTATTTTCAAGGCCATTTCAAATCCATTTTCATTTCAAGGCTGAGGTACAGCATAATGCTTCTGCATGGAGGAAAAAAGGCCTACATAATATTGTTTTGTTCAATTGTGCTCTTTGTAAAAGCTGTATGCAGAGAAGACAATTTAGAGATCATTGAGACTTGACATGAGGCTGTCTGATATTTTATAAATCATTCCCAAGCTATTTAAAAGACTACATTTTCATCAAACTATGCAAGTACAAAGAAAAGTAGTGCTTGCTTGTCTCCTGTTCTTTTCAATGAGGAACAAAGACACAAAGGTTTTGGTGGACTATACTCTTATTCACTGAAGGAACACAGAGTGTCACATAAAAAGCAGAAGTGAAAGGCATAAATAAACAATAGAAATATGAATTGATGGCCGCAGATGATACCATCAATAAAACCTGTAAAATGAGAGAAATGGCAAAATGTAGACAAACATGTCTTTTAGCTACAGTGGAGCCTCGACTTATGAATTTAATTACTTTCAGCTACAGTGGAGCCTCGACTTACGAACTTAATTAGTTCCGAAACTCTGGTCATAATTTGAAATGGTCGTAAGTCAAAGCACCATTTCCTATAGGAATGCACTGAAATGCAATTGATCCGTTCCGGCCGAAGTGGGGGGGGACCCACTGCAAGACCCATCGGAAACGCAATTAATCCATTCTGGATGAAGGGGAGGGAAGCAAACAAACCATGCAAAACCCTTCAGATATGCAAAAAAAAGCAAGGCAGAAAGCAAACAAACCGTGCAAGATCCATAGGAAATGGGGGGGGGGAACCACCCAAAAAGCAAACAAATCCCACAATACCCATTGGAAATGGGGAAAAAAACCAAAAAACAAATAAACCCTGCAAGACCCATCACAGCATAGAAACGTAATCCCACCACCCAGCCCAAAACCACGCTGCAAAACCCACCTAGAACAGTTTTTAAAAAGTATAAAGCGGCACTTTACCTTACTAGGCAGTCTGAAGCCTCCTCAGATCACAAACTCTCTAACTGCTGGGGCGAAAGAGCTACAAAGAAGCAGCCTCTTCGCCACCAACAGTTAGCAAATTTGAATTCCCTGCCTTTTTTCTGGTTGTAACTCAAAGCTCCGGCCACAAGTCAAAGCAAAATGTTGTGGCCGGAGCTGGTCGTAACGCAAAATGGTCATATGTCGGGACGTTCATAAGTCGAGGCACCATTGTATATACCTAATACAAACCTTACCAAGGATATGGTTCAGCTGATCAAGATAATGTTTTCCTGGAAATATGGGTCTGTTTGAGAGCATCTCTGCTAAAATACAGCCTACAGACCAGATATCAATCGATTTTGTATAACCCTATAGAGAGGAAAGGGAAAGTTAGTTGTCAATAGCATTTGCTATACCAGTAATACACTACTACAGTTGCAGAATACAGAGATTTCACTGCTCTGTATCACAGAACTCCACCTCTAGTACTCAAAATTCAGAACTCTATGCGATTATTCATGAACAATAAGGCAAAGATTATGCATTAGAAAAATGATGGGAAAGCAAAAACAAAGAGTCAACCCTAAGTCAACAGAAATGCATAATACACAATTTAGCCAATTCTTGTCCTGTTAAGAACACAGCTGACTTTTCAAAAATTTGCAAGCCCCAAAGCCTATCTTGCTTTCCAAAAGGTCACACACCAATCAGGAAGTGCCATTTTCAAATAACTGCAAATGTACAGTGGTGCTATCTTCCAAAAGGCAAAATGAGATGAATTATGTATTTCACATAGTGAAAAGAAACAGTATATTCTTTATATTATGATTATATTGATAATTTCAATTTATTAGCTGTTCTGCCAGCAATGCATGAGAATTTATCACTCTACTATTTACCACCCAAAATATACTGCTTGGAACTAAAAAGATACTTCTAAATAGTTATTCTATATGCTAGCACAAGACTGGGGAAACAGGGTAAATATTAAAGCATGGATTATCAAATATTTGGGAGTGTAAAGAGGGTGGCTCATACTATGTTTCTGATCCACCTTTCTTGACCCCAAATTATAACCCCACCTTGTCCACAGTCTTGCCTGCCTTCTTCTTCTAGTGATGATGCAAGCCCACATCCACATGATCTTTATATCTAACTAGCTCCTGCCTCCCACTTCAAGAAGATGTAAATATGAGAAAATGCAGAGATTCAGATATGAAAAATATGAGGCTGCAGCCATTGTTTCTGATCCACCTTTCTTGACCCCAAATTATAACCCCACCTTGTCCACAGTCTTGCCTGCCTTCTTCTTCTAGTGATGATGCAAGCCCACATCCACATGATCTTTATATCTAACTAGCTCCTGCCTCCCACTTCAAGAAGATGTAAATATGAGAAAATGCAGAGATTCAGATATGAAAAATATGGGGCTGCAGCCATTGCCTATTTTCAATAATGCTCCATTTTCTTGCCACTAGAGGGGGATATTTTTTCCTTTTTTCCTTTTAACCTAAGATGACTTAGCTTTTAAAAAAAGGAAAAAAAGAGTTCGTAACTCGAATCTAAGTTCGTAAGTCGAGTCCATATATTCCTATGAGAACAGTTCGTAAGTCAAAACATTTGTATGTCGAGCCATTCGTAAGTCGAGACCCCACTGTATTTTCAATAATGCTCCATTTTTCCCCCAAAGCTAAACCACAGTTGCACTAGATACTGTTGCCTTAAGCTGATAGTTACATGGAAAGCCACCTCAAACAGTTTTTGCCTACCTGGACATTACTTTTATCTAACATAACAAATGCATAGATAGAAATACTTTTAATCAGATTAAAATCAAAGTGAATACTGTGCAACCCCACCCCACCCCCCAAAAAACTATATTCCAAATCAACTCAAACCTGTCAACTGTTTCAGCAGTCAAGGGTGTAATCTGGAATACAGTTGTAGCGAGGGAGAGATGAGAAAACCAGCATGTCAGTTAACTGCTTTGTAGAACAGGGTTGTATTTGATTGAAAGGGTGTTTGACTGCAATACATGGCACACAAATGTTTCAGTGATTACCATCTATGGAACCCCTACAGACACAGATCTCACCTTTGAATTCAACATGATTTCTGGAGCTCTGTACCAACGTGTGGCTACATATTCTGTAAGGAAACCAGTGTGATCATGATCTGGATCTGCCACACGAGCCAATCCAAAGTCACAGATCTAGCATTAAATAAAACAAAAGTATTACACAAAGGACTGAACTGTTTCCCCTGGTTTTCAATTACTCCAGTACTGCTAAGCATGATTCCCACAGATTCACCACACACATATACACATCCCCTTTTGAAGCACAAATAAATAGATAGGGGACAGAAAGGGAAGATGGGGGAAATGGAAGGAATGCTGAAAGGCTGGCAAGCCTTTCATAAATATGGGACAATTCAATCAATGCTGTGAGAGGTATAATTTAAAAGAAACACTCCTGGCTTAGCTTTGTAGCCCTCACTTTGAAACTGGCGTAGACATCTATTTTTTAAAAAAATATTTTTGGACTCTTTTGCTTTTCCTGCGGTTTGCACAGATAAGTGGTGCCCAGCCCGATGAAGGCCTGTAGCATTTTCCTGTGATTTTCTAGTGGTTTGGCAGAGTGATCACCTACCCTTTGCCTTTAGGGGGAAAAATGGGACAGGATGCCCAAACCTACAAGGACCAATCAAGTGTTAATGATAATAATAACAAGTGAACAATTCCCTAAATCCTAAACATGGTTTTGCTTCTCTTTGACCAAAGGCTTGGATGACTTTCATCACAAACAGGGTCATTACAACCACTTCTCTTTCTATACATTGGGAGCATCTCAAGGTGGACTAGCATAAACCTGTTTCAATCGTCAAAACATATTTACATCTTTCCCAGTATGTTTTTTAACTTCCTCACTCCCTAGCATAGAATAAGGATATTTTATAGAAACGCAGATAAGATACCGTATTTTTCGCTCCATAAGACGCACCAAATTTTTAGGCGAAGAAAACAGGGAAAATAATTGGGGAATTTCGCTCCATAAAACGCATACACTTTTCCCCCAATGTTTTTTTGGGCTTTTAACTTCCTCACTCCCTAGCATAGAATAAGGATATTTTATAGGAACACAGATAACATATATTTGGGGTGTGGCATGGAATCAACACCCATCTTATGGTGCGAAAAATACAGTATATTTGGGGTGGGGCATGGAATCAACACCCCGTGAGAGAGAGAGACACTTAACTTATGAAAAGATACTTGCTAACCTTGAGATCACAAGTAGTGTTGAGCAGCAAATTGGAAGGTTTGAGGTCACGATGCAGTACATTGGCTGAATGGATATATTTTAGCCCTCTCAAGATCTGGTAAAGGAAATAACAGATGTGATCATTGCTGAGATGCTGAGTTTTCAAGAGCTTGTAGAGGTCAGTCTCCATAAGATCTTGCACAATGTATCTGTAAATCAAATTAAGGCAAACCAACCAATGTTTTACTCTAAGCACTGGAGCTGGCCAGATTTCTAATTTTTAGGAAAAACGATACAAACTATATTGCTGGCTTGCTAATGGATAAAGAGCAAAGGAATCAAGTGTTAATATACAGTTTAGAAGCAAGATAACAACTAGCATACATTCAACACAGAATAGAAAGCTGAAATAAACTCAGTGACATTTCGTTTTGAAGGATACACATCTTTCATCTGTTCAATTGTTGGAGCTCTGATAATGTCATTGATCCCAATAATATTTTCATGCTTGAAGCGTAGTAGGATCTTGATCTCCCTCAATGTTCTCTGGCAGTATGTTTGGTGTTCAAAAGGGCTGATTTTCTTTATTGCCACTCGAACTTTGTTCACGTTGTCATATGCAGAACTGAAAGAGGAATTATCAATATTAAAAGAAAAAAAATAAAACCCATTACCTATAGAACAAGATTCACACTTCTAGACTAATGATCCTGCTTTTTTATATATTCAAAGACCATCATAACGTAATCTTAATATTGTTATACAAAAAATTGCTGCCAGAGTTTCTGGATTTTTGCTTCATCACTTTTCTTGGTACTGATTCTGACAATCACACAGTAACTCTGCCCTCCTTCCTCCTCAGTCCATCCCATTCGTGTGCATAATCTCCAATCCTCTGAGGCGAGGGCTGGTATGATACCAAGGATAGGTGGGGACACCTGCAAGAGCATATCTGAGTCCAACCCACACAAAATGCGTTTCAAAGCTTGATAGTTCTTCACTGGATCAGCTTTTTCATTGTTATAGTGAAGTGGGATATCATCAGGAAAAAAATCACACTATCATCAACTTGTTAACTGTTTAAAATGCCACAGTTCTCTACCTATGCTTGCAACAGAATAACATAGTCACTCTTTTGTATACTTAACTCGTGGAATACTAGGATTAAAGAAATATAGATTATATATTTATTTACCAAAGTAAAAATGGTACGCAGATTTATTTTCCCCTGTAGATTTGATTGATCCAGGATGCCAAGTGCTTTCACTGTTGTCCAGGTAACTATTAGTCACTTCCTGCTCCAACTCTCTTCAAGACTTCTCAGGATGTGAAAAGCTCTAATCTGGACACGTGCCCAAATATTTATGAGACCATTTAAAAATCTTGGAATACAAGCAACACAACTGACTGTTGCATGGCAGCCAAGATTCTGTTTCTAAAAAATTATTTTAAATGTCATTCCTGCTTTCAGGCCCAATAGCTGAAGTATCCATAATGTCTGCTTTAATTGGAAAAACTTCATGCAGCATCCTAGCTTTGATAGAAATGCAGTCATTTTAACCTTGTAGGAATTAAAGAAGGCTCAACTCCAGATTGCCTATATGAGAGAACCCCATCCATATCCATAGCTTCCAAGTCCCCCTGCAGATGCCAGAAACCACGGATAGTAGCAAACTCGTTCGCTACTATCCATAGGGATTGTGCACTGCACGCTGGGTTGCATCAGCAGTAGCGACTGCAGTTTCAGGGGTTGTACTGTTCTCAACTTTTTTGCATCAATACCATTGGTCCATGGTGAGACCAGGCAGAAACAAGGCTTTCCAGCTTATAAGAATTATTTGGCAAGATCAAATGGATAAAATTGAACAGAAATTAGTTGTTTTAGGGAATAAAATATTTTTATTAAAAGTTAACAAGACTGTAGAAGAAACAGAAATGTGTGTATATTTAAGGCCTCCATCACACACAAACACTGGGGCAAGTAATAACTAATAGCTGCCCAGCTAAATAAAAGAAAAAGGAATAATATTATCATCCAAAGTAAGCCTGAAGAAGCAATGAGTCTTTTTTTAAAAAAACACTGAGTAATGAGTCACTGGTTTCCCAGGCTGAACAATGTTCAGGCTAGAGCTGAATCTACTTTTAGATTGAACAATTCACAGGACAAGAGTTAAATCCAGCACTGATGGCTGGTATCATGGAGCAAATGTTTATGTGAAATACTTCTACAACATTATATTTAAAAAGCATATAGAAACTACTTAAAAGTGGGATTTCCATTCTAACATCTACAGAAATACTCCTAAAGAGGTTCATATTTTATAGATCACAGAAAGATACTGGAGCTACAAATAAGACAGTTAATCAGTTTTAATGATGTGTCTGCTAACTGAGGTAGAACAGTCATGAGTTCAGAAAGAATGAGGAAGTTTATTCAACTACCTCAATTCTTTTTCATGGTCTATAATGTACAGGCTACAGCAGGTCCCATGTTATCTGGAGTTCCAGGATCGCCCCGTTGACATACTGAAAACCACTGATTTAGATAAATCCATTCTGAGATGGAGAAAAGGACAGTGTATGGAAAGCAATAACTTAATTATTATTTGACTAGCCAATTGATTAGTTCATTTCAAACCCAACTGATGGGTACTTCAATTATCAGTTGAATTCTATCTAGATAGGATAGTTTAAGCATACAGTACAAGCATATATATGTATACTAGCCATGTATGCAGTACTGTCTTCAGACAAACATGCACAACCCAACCAAATCAGGGGTATTTCAGCAATTTTGGGGAAACTACAGGACAAAGCAATGAACCATTATTTATGTCCTGGGCAGAGCAAAGCAACAATAGATCAAGAACTGTTAGACAGCTCCTGGGTTTAGGTCTCTGGCTGCAGGGCCAGAGGTTGGGAGTTCAATTCACCATTATGCCTCCTTGACAGCGGCGGACTCAATAATCTATGGAATTTCTTCCAACTCTGCAGTTCTAAGATTATCATCATTAATATCTATATTCCATTCAGCATTGGGAGGGTTAAAAAGATGGCCAGCAACTTTATTTGAGGAAGGAGAAAGTAAAAGTAAGAAGGCTGACTGAGCTGCTGGCCCCAAAGGAGAAACTGAGTGACAGCTCGACTCTAAAGGATACAGAACAGAAGTTACTGGTCAGCCCTGGTCTAAGTGTCCTTTATTTGGATACAGAAAGAGGTTGAAAGGTTTAATAAATAATATTAATAAGGCCAAGAAACAAACAACTGTTAATGGAACCTGATTTAAAGCAACATTACTTCTGGAAGAAAAGCACAGTAGAAAGGAAAGCAGCAGAGGTACAGGATATCAAAGGAGAAAAGGTAAAGAAATACCTAATATACTCAGCGTGCAAGTTAGGGTAGCGTAGGATGTGCCTGAAAGTTCACAAGAGAACAAAGGAACATGGACTGAAAAATGGGTAAAATCAAAAAGGTCTTTAGTACTCTGAATAAGATGGCAGCTCAAGGATGACCAGAACCAAGAAAAACAGGAGGTAAACCAGAAGTGGAGAGTACAGGACAAGGAAGCCCAAGACTGAGGGCAGGGAAGAATTAAAGGCTGGTGTTCAGACAATATATCCAAAGCTAGATGGATCAATGGTATGACTTAACGTAACACAACTTCCTACGTTTCTAGGTAGCGGAGTGTGAGGTGTGGGCAAGAGTGACAGGGGAAAAAAACTACAATTTCAAGAAAGCCACAGTAGTATAAAGTTGGCAAATTACAGAAACAACAACAGAATGGAGGGAAGTGAGTGGAAATTAGAGAAAAGGGGTAACAAACAAAGAAACATCAATCCACATCAATGAGTTCAGACAGAGCAGTTCTTAAATGAGACATCTGAATATATCCAAAGTGTGGTGACAATGGGCAGAGAAATCAGTGCGGGAGAGGAAGAGAAAAGAGAGCAGTTAGATCTGAAACTTCATCAACATGAATGCTGATTCAGTTAGTATGTACCTGCTTATAGTTACATAAAAACTGCTGAATTTTCCCAGTACTTTGAGCCTATATCAGGGTTCCAACCCTCAATATCTAGATGATGTTAGATTTCAACTCCCATAAGCTCCAGCGAATGTTCAGGGATTCTGGAAATGGTAATGTAACAACATCTGGGTATCCAAGGCTAACAATCACTGCATTAAAATGTGTGCAATTCTAAGTCTGTGTTTACATTCCCATGGTAATGACAATTAGTAAAGTAAGCTGAATGGCTTATATGTGCATGCTTTTTTTTTAAGTGGTCCTCAGCAACTGTTTTCAAAGCAACAAAATACATCACCAGTACACACCTTTTGCGCAGATAACCCATGTAGGTCTGCTCTAAAAGATGCAAATGCTATTAAAAATCAACTAAATATATGGAGTATAACTTAAATCAGGGTTCATCAGCACTTAACAAATGCTCATTTGTTAATCTTATTAATCACTTGCTAACTTTATTAATATTGCTTTTATTAAAAAAAAAACCCTGGACACTTGGAATTCCCTCCATCAATCAAAACAAATTCACCAACTATCTGGACTAATAGTTACATAACAGCCATGAATCTAAATTGCCAAATAGAATCAAAAAAGAATTCCATGTATACACATCTACAGCAAAGCACATCCCACTCAGAATCTCTGCAGATCATCATGCTGTATCACAGAGGCCTCCCTACTAGGAAATGCAATTTATGCACACCTGTGTAGGTCTGGATAGCTCTGGCATCTACAGCTGCAATATCTTCTTATGAAAAGGGTTATTGAATGTACAAACAAATGCTTCTTTACTTATCCAGCTAAACTGATATCTGGCCCTACAGATAGCACACCAATATAAGAGTTGCAGGGCAAGAAAGCAGCCATTCAATGAGGGGGGAGAACTTTTTACTTTTAGACAGGTGGTCTGCACGAAAGCTGGGGAATCAAAACAGATGTGCAGAATATAGTCTGCAGAACAGTGGCAGCTATATAAAGCAGCATCGTCTGCATTCAGCAAGCCTGTACAGCACTGTATGTAGGACATTACAAATGCAAACACTGTAACTATGTGATGTCTCTAACCATGTGCCTACTATCTGGAGGAGAAAGATTTCTGATCCTAAATGAAGCAGAAAGAAGAGTCAACGAGAAATGCACCCTAAGTCTGTTAAAGAGGGTCCTAATCACATCCTGTGACCACGGAAGATTGTCTTCGGACAAAACGCTGGCTCTATGGCTTGGAAATGGGGATGAGCACCGTGCCCTAGAGTCGGACACGACTGGACAAAAATTGTCAAGGGGAATCTTTACCTTTACCTAATCACATCCTATTACATGCATTGTATATAAGATATATTTAAGAAACAATAATAAAATTAATTGTCACAAGCATGTTACATATGCAGTTTAAATGAGACTTGTGCCAAAAGCAATGCTATCAGCATTATATTCTTTTCACATTTTTAAACACTATCTTGCTCACATGAAAATCACTAATTCTTAAACCATCCTTACTCCCAATATGGTTTAGTGACTTCCATCAGTCATAAATATGTGAATGTATTGTTTTGGACAAATTCACAAATTTTCCTCTCCCAATTCTTTGTATACAAGAGTTCTGTTACACATATTGGAGACATTAACACTGTGAGAAGCAAAATCACCACTGATGCAATGATTTTAAGAAGCAAAATGGATTAGAATTATTTTACACTTTATCATCATAGTTGCTCACAGCAATTTTTCTACAGTTAACATGAAGATGGAGTCAGCCAGGCATTTCTAGATTTTCTTCGTTTATTGCGTATCCTATAACAAGCAGCCAGATAAATATGTGACACCTCATGGTAAACGATCCACTGCTTCCTTTCAAATTTTCCCTTACTTGAATCTAGTACGCTGTCCATGACAGAATATGGCTAGCTTAGTGATAACCAATCACTGGTTATAAATGTTCTGAGAGTAATTTCTTTACCTTCCGGCGGCGGGTTTCTTAGTAGTTATTTCATTTTTCTTGATCATTGCCTATTCTGAGTTTTAGGTTGATGCACAGGTACATATATAACATGTTGTTAAATGCTATGTTGCATGTTTGTACTTTAATTTTATTTGAATGCACTCTGGTGTAGAACACAATTTATGATGATGACGATGATAACTGGCATTTTGGCAAACTAACTGGTAGAGGAGGGGCAATGACCTAATTAAGATTATATTACCACTCTTGGGGGCTTCTAGGAGCTGAAATTTACCTTTTCCCTACTAAAAAAAGAGGGAGGGAGGACAGCTAGAGGCCACAAACACAGTATTGGGGGACCTGCAAGTGATCCCAAGTACATACTTGCCCCTCCACCATATTAACCACTTTATAATAGAAATAATGGAAGGATTTTCCTCTTTGGCAGTGGAAGACAGGAGGGCCTGGCATGCTCTGGTCCATGGGGTCACAAAGAGTCGGACACAACTTAACAACTAAAAAACAACAAACAAAAAATAAACCACCACTTGGATTTCATACTCAGAGACTGCAGAAGTTTTACAGGTAAGTTTAATTTTATGTTTTTATTCATTTAATCCTTATAATTTGCCCAGAGTGCGTTGTTTGATGAATATTAAAAAATAAGTACGAAAACACTCCGGTTAGAAAGCAAGTAAAGTCTGATGGCTAAAATAAAATAAATCTCATTCTCAAGGATGCAATCTTATGCACTTATCTGGAATAAAGTCCCAGTGAACCTTACATGATTATGTCAAAGCAGACATATTTTTCTCACAAAGCTGGGTAACACATGACCCTCCAAATCTTGTTGTGTTGGACCAACAGGCTAATAGGTGTTGCAGTCCAACATCTGGAGCACTACACATGTCCCAGCCCTGACTTCAAAGATTCATAAAGCTTCCTTTTAAGAGAAATCACATATGAAATCACATATTGCAACTCTTCTGAAGGTCTCTAAAGAAGGCGACATAAGATGCATGTATAGGTTATGCACACTTCCTTGGGCAAAATACCACTGAACTCAAAGGGATTTATTTATTTTTGAATAAGTTTGCATAAGCACCAGCTTGAGAGGCTGAAAATTCTAAACACCCACTGATCTGGGAAGGATACCCATCGGTTTATAATATAATTATCCTGCTTTTATAACAACTACTGTCCTCCAAAACAACTCACCACAAGTACAATACAATAATACACCAGGGATGGCAGCAATTACTACCACATAAATAAAGAAATATAAAGTGAGTTTAGACACAGTGGGTGGTCTAATAGGTCATCTTTGCAGTAAAGCATCTTTGGAAGATGGGGAGGTAGAGAAAAGGAGACGAACGAGAGAAAGTGGCAGGAGGATCATAAAAACGAGTGTGACTAAGTGGCAGCTCAATGTTTATGGTGCCGGCAGTGTGATGTAGGTGACAGATTAGAAAATCAGAAGACTTGGTTTCTAATCTCCACTCCTGGGAGGAGAGTAGAAAAATCACTTCTTGAACATCGCATACAGAAGCAACTTGATGGCACGTAACAGCAACAGTATGTACTGTTATTACATTTTAGGTCCACATTTTTTGTTGCATTTTACAGGTACATCTTGATTCTTTGCAACTGTACTACTAGCCAGCCTGAATGCCTTATACAAGCCGGAAAGATAAGGAGAGGCTTGGTTTAATATCAACAGATATACCAAGTTCAACCTTAAAGTACAATTTCCCTGAAAATAAACCTGTCTAAACAGAGTGGGGTTTATTTCAGTATAAATGCACACACATATATGGAGGATTACACCTTATAGAGTCTGCCAGACTCTCAGCCTACTCTTCTCTGCGTATTTATCTGCATCTGAGGAAAGCGGGCTGCCACCCAGCCCAGTTTATGCCAAATAAAACTTGGGTAAGTCTTTAAGGTGGCATGAAGGTGCCCTGCTTATCCAGGCAAAAAATCTGGATAGCCGCAGCAGCAGCAGCAAAAAGCAGCCTTGACGCCAAGCAAGGGGTGGTTATGGGGAGCCCCTGAAGGCTGCTTCGAAGGGAGGCAAATATCGGGTGGTGGGGGGTTATAATGGGAAGGGGGGGGAGAAAGCGAGGGAGAAGGGGCAGGAAGGCTGGGACCTCTGAATAAAGGGGAAGTCAACAACAGCGGCCGTCCCTCTTACCAGACCATCCCATAGGCGCCTTCCCCGATGTAAGAGAGGTTGGTGTAACGCGGCCCCACGTCGAAGACCTGCCCTCGCACCATCTCGGGGGCCCCGGCCGGGTTGGCACCGCTGCCCACGGCTGCCCCCGACACCGCCGCCATGTTGCTGGTCCGTGAGGGGGGGAAGGAAGGAAGGAAGCGGCGGCGGAGGAGGAGGAGGAGAATGAAAGGAGGGAAGGAAGGAAGGAAAAGAGGGGAGAAGATGGGGCCCAGAGACCGGACCGCCACCCCTGTGACCCGTGAGAGGAAAGAGAGGGAGCGCGCGAACAACCGCCGCCGCCGCCGCCGCTCCAACCGCCACAGCCGCTGTGTGAGAACAGGCTGAGGGGAAAGGGGCGGAGCTTCGCTCCCTCAGAGACACACACGGTCTGTCTCCCCCCCCTCTGTGTGTGTATGTGTGCCTCTGACGCGCGCGCGCGAGCAACGGTCAAAAAAAAAAGAGAGAGGGCGGGGTCAAGCCGAGAGGTGGGCCTATCGTCTTTTACGATCTCAGGCAGGGGGGGCGTGGCCTCTGGAGGAGGAGGAGGAGGAAGGAGCTGCGGCGGCCTCCTCGCTCAGCGGCCAGAAAGAGAGAGGGGAGGGGAGGTAGGTTACGGAGTGACGTCACCGCCGCCCGGCGAAGGCCTGCGGTCATGTCGCTTTGAGAGGCAGGGAGGAGGCCGGGCTGAGAAAAGGGGCGTGTCTTCGGGAGGGCGGAGGCGCGCGCGCGCGAGGAAGGGAGGGGCGGGGACTTTGTGTCAAGGAGAGGAGGGGGCGTGGTCTCCGGGGGCGCGTGGTTTCTGCGGAGACTGCGGTATCTTCAGAGCCGCAGAGGAGGAAAGGGGAGGGGACGGAGAAGGGGAAAAAAAAGGGGGAGCTGCGGGTCACGTGGCCGCCCCTGCACCCTTTAAGGAGGCGGCATGAGGGTCAAAAAGGGGAGGAAATCTCTTGTAGGGTGGAAGTTTTTTTTTTTTTTAAAATGACATCTTGGGTCTTGGATGAAAAACAGAGGCTTAAAATTGCAAATATTGGATCACCTCCATTCAGCGTGCCATTTAGTGCTGCATGCAACTCTGCAAAGTAACAGGGCTGTTGAAATGCAGTGCATGCTTTGCCTGGATACCCTTTCCACTGAGCTTTACAACGTACAAGCGGTGCCTCGCTAGATGATGATAATCCGTTCCACTGAAATCGCTGTTTAGCGAAATCATCGTCTAGCGAAAAGCATTTCCCCATCGGAATGCACTGAAATCTGTTTAATACGTTCCAATGGGGAAGATCGTCATTGTCTAGCGAAGATCAGCCGTAGGAAAGCCGTTTTGTGAACCGCCGATCAGCTGTTTAAATCGCTGTCTTGCGAAGCTTAGGTCCCGGAAACACCCGTTTTGCAAGCACGGAGGGAGCTGTCAAAATCGTCATCTAGCGAAAATCGGTTTGCGAAGCAGGGACCAAACATTGTCGAGCGAAATTCTGCCATAGAAATCACTGTTTTGCGAATCGCTATAGCGATCACAAAAAGTCAATGTCTAGCAAAAAAAACATCATGCAGGGTAACTGTCTAGCAAGGCACCGCTGTACATAAGAGTCCCGTAGACTGGAACTCTTGTTAGTCGAAGCACATAAATATATTGGCCAAAAACTGGCATGTATCAGGTAAGCAACAATATTCTTATATCCTGCACTGAGCAGTGGGTTGTACTCGATGCCCTTATAGGCCCCATCCAGCCCGGTTATTTTTTGATACCTTTTTTTTCCTTCTGTTTTGTGCCGTTTCTTGCCTGATATATGTAGGGCTTGTGGAGCTTGCTGTGGGTTATTGGTGAGGGCCTAGTGTGCCTCAGTGGCACAACTTGTGGTGTGAGCAGGTGTGCGACTGATACCTGGCACCTCAGCGATTAGTCGTGGCAATTATGCAAACCTTACACGAACATCAGCAAGATATACGACTTGAACAAAATGCCTCTGTAAGGAATCCTACCACAAAAGTAGACCGGGGAAAAAAAACTGCTTGTCAGGAGCTGTTTTCCATGTATCACTGGGATGCAAGATATAAACGTTTTCTCAGGGGGAAATATTCTGCATCACAGTTATGACTCAAAGCAACATTGAATAATGTACTGCTGTGATTGAGTTCATTTGAAGCTTGGAGCCGTTCCTCTCTTTTGGCAGGAAATGATGTCTGAGGCTTTTTTGAAACGACAACTTTATTTACATTAACATTTGGCGATTCCACAACTACTTCAATAGGGTCGAAACAACTCAAACCTGGGCAACTGTCCATAACTTGATGTCGAGAATTTTGCCTGCTGATGGAAGCTTTCTAGGGAAAAGTTCCACATGTTTTCTAGAAGCATTTTAGCCCTGGCAATGGTTCCACTGTTCATGTCAAAAATCAGCTTCACAGCTCACCCAGTTAGACACACTCTCAGGCATTCTACAGGGGGTAGATAAAGGAGCTAATTAGTGTTTTTAGGGAGAGAGTGCTTGATTTCTTCCCCTCCCCTCCCATCACTCCATATCGCTTCCCCTTTGTAATTTATATCCATCATTAATTATTAGAAAGGTGAACGAATGCTAAGGCGGTACATCATGATAGGAGTTACAGCATTTCAGTGTTCCAATATAATATTTATGGAATGACTGTGTGTACATGGCCTAATTAAATCTCAGGAAAAGTGAAAGCAGATTTAAATCCCATCTGAACAATTTTTAGAGCTAACATGGTAATTTATTAACCACTGCCAGATTTAGATCACAAAGAACATTTTTTGTGCCAATGCATAAATGGCTTTGAGTTCAATACAGTTTTAGTGAAATGAGATCTGAGACCCTCTTCTCCGATCACTTTTTTAAAAGATCATAACATATGTTGCATTACTTGTTCAATGTATGTGTTTCTATTACAAATAAATAAATAAAAAATTTAAAACTATCGATAAAGAAAATGTGTCCCTTAGAGCTGATAAATACTAAGGAGGAAATCTCTTTTTTTAAACTTATTCAAGGTAATGCATACACAGTGGCCAGAATCCTTTTGGTATCCACATACGGTTTACACAACAAACCACATCTAATTACAACTAATTGAAGCAGCGCCAGGGCATGTCTTAGTCATGTGCCTGGTGCAGCAAAAATGTAACAAGGCACCTAATCAATTAGCAATTAGTCATGGCTAGTTACACAGGTTTTTTTGTGAACACCAGGAGGATTTCAGTCACTAGCAGAATAACCATGTTTCTAGTCATAAAATATGCATTGTAATCCTGCATACATTTTACCTGAACATAAACACCATTTAACTCTGTTCTCCTTCTCTTTTTTCTGTCTCTCCTTCACACTTGCATTGATGGTAAATTTCATCCAGCATCACCCAACTGTATAAAGGAAATTAGGGAGAGCTGTCAATTAATCTGTCACTTGAAGTTGTTAAGGATCAAACAAGAAGCAAAAACAAGAGGTGACAGAAGTCAGAATCCTGAATGCAATGTTTCGGCAACTGTCACAACTATTATAACGGTCATTGCAAAGAAATGGAGAACTGCAAAAGAGGAAAAACAAAGTATTTGCCAGAACACCTAAGAAGGGGAGTTTAAGCCTAAATTAGGAATGCTGAAAGACCAATAGGGAAACACACTATCTGACCGTGGAGAAAATAAAGAGAAGGTGGAAATAGTATACTGAAAACCTGTATAGAAGAAGGGAAAGAATATCAGATTCCCTTTGAAAAAGAATTGTATGGTGAAGAAAATAAAGTGAAAGTTCTGGAAAATAAAGTGAAAGCTGCTTTGAAAGTACAGGGAGGAAATAAACCACCAGGGGTAGACAGACTATCAATAGAAGTATTTCAAGCCACAGAGACTGACTCTGTCAATGTTCTGACAAGAATGTGACAACAAATGTGGAAAACAAAACAGTGGCCCACAGACTGGAAATGTTCAACATACATTCCAGCCCCCAAGAAAATATAGACATAGGAAGCTC